CACTTTTTTTACTCAGTCAATTAATTTACAGTTTTTAAGGAATACTTTAATTCACATGGATGCATAAAAATTAAAAATCCATTAAAAACTTTATGCATAAATTGTTACGAAACAACAACAAAATTTCAAATTAATTCTGTTCTTATGAACCTTCTAACAAAAATGCATCATGTTTCCACAAAAATATTAAATTTTTTAGGTAGCAATAATATTTCACAGTATAGTTTTTACTGTTTTTTTTGATCAAATAAATGCAGCCTTGTTCAGCATAAGAGACTGTTTAAACACATCCTGTCACAATAAACTGCACATTTCTGTTTAGACAAGTCCTACAGCTGCATGGGAGGCTCTTTGAATTTCTCCACCATAGTCTCATATATTGGGATTCTCCTGTGAAAACAAAGGTCTTAAATGCCCACATCAGTCCTACTCAAATGCCCATCGCTGATACCTACAAATGACACAAAGAGGAAAAGATAGAAAGCATGCAGTAAACCTTGCAGCCTTTTGATGATATCTGATAAATATGTCAATATAAATGCTCTTGAAAGGGCTTAAGTGTTGATTCTTCAGAGGAACCATCATTGCAGTATTGTAAATATTGTTGGCTACAATCATGGCAAATGCACTCAGAAAAGAACATGAATAAAATGCTGTAAAATCTATATAATGATACAAAAAAGCAGTAGTTATCTACATATACTTTTAACAAAACATTCTGATAGTAAAAAAAAAAAAAATTTTGATTGTTCAAAAATCTACCAATTATTAAAAAAAAAACAATCCCAAATTTTTGAATGTCGTATGACTTAAGTTGATGTATATGGTGACAGCAGGAAGAGTGTCAAGTGTGTATTTGTGAGTCATTTGTTTAGTATAATAATAACGGCTAAATAAATTTGGCATTATGAAAATTGCAAGCATGTTGCATTCACAAAGGATGTTATAAACAACAAATTTCTAAGATGGTCTGAATTCATTCTGAATGTTCACACACAGAACAAGCCAAAATTCTTGCAAAATACTGAGACCCCTGAAGCTACTGTAAGTGATGAAACATGACCAACCTTTGAGGCTCTTGGAAAAACATGCCTTTATCTACACTTCAGAAAAACTCCAAAATCATACCAATACATACAATTCACTGCAGTTTCCAGCTGAAATGAGCACTAGTGGCAGTAAAACACCACCAACTTTTATTGCCTTTCATACAAATACAGGGACATAATATAGATAAGATAATAAAGACTCAGCTCCTTGCGCAATATGAAGTTATAACCTTAAAACACATTTACCACAGTGCATGATTTGTAAACAAATACATTTTGATGTTTGCATCACATAATCAGATCCATATGGCTTTTCTAACATAGTAAACTTGCTTGATAGCGCACCTGGTACAGCACTGCACTTGTGCTCGTGTACAAGTGCCGTGAAACACAAGACACGATAAAAGGGCTCAAAGACTTGTAGAAGCAAGCTAAAATGACAGTTGCTTCAGCAAATAAGTTTATTTATTTTTATTTTATTTTACATTTGCTTTTGCTCACACTAGCAAGTTTAGGGGTAGATTTTAGTGTAGGTGGTACAATGTTTTCAAACGCAGAAGCAACATCATTTTGCAGAAATGTCATCACAGGCACTTTTTTCCAATGAGCCTGGTTTGGAAATGACTGTTTTTGCAACACTGAGTTGTCAATACAAGGTCAGCAATACTTTCTTCTCTGAATGAAGAGTTTTAGAGACAGATTTATTAACAGCTTGTGCCAGGAAGTCCCTCTTTTGGTGTTAAAAATTAGCAATGAAAAGGCATGCAAAAGTTATTTTTGTGGCTTTTATAGGATTGTGGTCTCATGCTAATTGGCCCGGTTTAGTAAATCCGGCCCTTAGACGCCAATCTCAGGTTAGGTAACTAGATAAGCAGTTATGTTGAAGCAGAGCACAGAACATTGCTCTGAAACACAAGTTAGATCAGGCTAATGGCCAGCTCTCAGCCTGAGGGAGTTAACAGAGCCCATCACAAAACACAGCCTTTCTCTTCGTAAATGAGCCACTGCACCGTTTTCTAACTCCGGCACAGAATGAACCAGGGAGACAAAGCCTGGTGATTCAGGGTGACGTAATGGAGAACTACAACAAATGATGAGCAAAAAATGGCCAGAATGACCATCAAAAAGCCACCCTGCATGAATTATAACGCTACAGCAATCAATTCGGTCCTACTGACAAGCACACAAATACTTAACGCTCAGTCAAAACATTGATGACTACTTCATTAGAGGCTTGCTTAATTCTGTTGTGCCTTATAGTTACAAACAATTGCACTTCTGATAAAACATATTCGTGATGCACCAACTTTTCAGCAATGTAATGATTGCGAATGAATCTGGTTGAGAGACCGTTTTAAAGAGCCAAAATCGTTGACTGAAATGGTGATGTTTATTTGGCACTTCTTTGACTGCACAGCATACTGTGACAGTGTTTTTATTAGAGTTCTGATTATTAAATAATTTAGAATAATTACTATTTTATATGCTATTTTCTGTTTTGTGAAAACTTTGAAAAATGAATGTTTTTAATGAAAACAGTTTTTGTAAAAATTCATTTCGGTGGATCATTATAATCTACTGAAGCTCATGATATACAAATGGGGCCAAGAAAGGGGACTCTGGCTATCTTACACAACACGCATAAATACAAACATGCCAAAATATATATAAAACATGTCGGGGTTGATGTAATCTCTCTCCTACCAACAGTAAACCACCAAAACATATGGGTTCAGTATAGACAGACACAAACAAATAAAAACACACACACACACACCTATATTCAGGTAAACACATCTCTTCTCGGCCCCTTGCGTTTTATCTTGTGTCTCACAGTCTGTGGTCAGTGACAGGCAAGATCACAGTCTTGTGCCTTGAAGTTAAAGGTTTTGCACTCTTTCTGAATCAGCAACGCTAATGTAGAGATACATTCTCTTCATTTGAGTTTAGTAGCAATGTTTGGTTATGTTCTGCCACTCTGAGATTCACCAGATAAGGGGCAGAAAGCTTGTTAGGGAAGAATTGTCACGAGGATGAGGCAGACTTCAAGGCGCTCTCAGAGCCGTCACACACGCACACAAACACATTCTCTATTATTCTCTCATTAGCATTCTGATGATCTTTAATCTTCACAGATATAGCTACATGACGTCTCCAAGTTACCAGTTTTCCAGACTATATACAGCTCATTTTATAGCCTATTAACATGCTGCCTGATAAGTAGTGCTTAAATCCTGCTCACTGTAATAAACTTTAACCCACTATATATAAACTTTTAAAATAAGTTTAATTGCTACCTTAAATGACATGTGGTGCTACCTTAAATATTGCTACCTCAAAATTTAAAGTGGTGCCAAAAAGTCATAAACTGCAGTTTCAGTTTAATTACTGATAAAGACAATTCACTGAAAACTAGGAATGAATAAATAATGATAATAATCAACAACAACAACAATAATAATTAATAATAATAATAATAGTATTATAAAAGGTTTAATAACATTTATAATAAAATGGAGAATATCAACAGAATTGTAGGCTATTGCATTTTAAAATCATGCCACATGTAAATGCTTTCAGCTGATTTCAGCACAGGACTATACTATTTATCTCTGAAATTAAAAAAAAAAAAGATCCACGAATAAATATAATAAAATATAAATAATTCAAAGAAAGTTTTATGACGTTCTCTCACATTCCTACAAATTATTATTACTTCGAATACTTTCAATATTCGGTAAGGGAATATGTAATAGGCTAGTCTTCTTGAAGTAACTCATAGCCTATATTAGTTGATTCGTTCATTATTTTCGAATTTAAAGTAGCCTTTATAACATTAACAAGAAGCAACATTCTCAGACTAACATGACAAAGAATATAGGACACTTTTCTTTCTTTCTTTCTTTCTTGTCGGTGTGCGCAGCGAAGTGTCTCTGGCTGTGAGCTGCAGCAGCGCGTTTGAGCTTCATAGAGATCCACTTGTTGCTGCAGCTCCACAAAAACCCGAACTGCGCTGTTTACAAAAGAAAACATTACTCACAGCACGCTGAACTCACCTCTTCTTCTCTTTCTCCGCTGTCATCTCTCTGTCCCCTCGTAATTCCCGCAGTTCAACAGCAGTGCGATCTCTGCGCAAACGGGACGCGCTCCAAACCCCCGCAGACGCTCGCGTTAAATCACAGAAAAGGACGCAAAACTGACCGTGAAAATGCTGTAAAGTCCACCAGCAGGGCAAAAGTGACTGTACAGTCTCAGAACACTGCCAAGGATCGTACAGTCTCCCGCTTTTGTAAAATCCACGCGCGGTGAGGGAATTTCTCGCTTGTTTTGTGGTCAGCGAAGTTGCCGCACTGAAGGACGCTTGACAGCTGAGCAATCAATCCCTGCTCTCTGATTGGCTGGAGCCACCGTTGGGAACCGCCCACCGTCTGCGCTGACAGGATCCGCTCCTGACCTGCAGCTCTACCTTCTCCAAGAGCCAGCATCAAACTTTAACCAAACTCATTTTAATCAGTTAAGTATCGTAGTTTAGTTGAAAATAGCAGCAACATGATTGTAACTCTGCAAGATGGCATGTCTATCTGGAGCAGGACTGAGTGGACAAGTGAGCTAAAGGCTATTGAAAAAGACATTCAGGGATGAAGGACACGGCTAGCCTAATAATTTAAGAATCATTGGTACATTAGTTAATTAGGACAATGTATGGCTTTCCTGAGAAGCAAAATTGTTTTATAGTGTTTTTCTGTAAGCTATTTTGATCCTTATTGTAACAGCGTCACTATTTTAGAAAACGTCTTATAAGTAAAATAAGTTTTATATCATAAATGTTAATAAAAACTATATATTCATGTCTTAGACAACTGTTTGTAGTATCCTCAATCATTCATTTATTCTGAAAATACAGCACAACGTAACTTTCACTTCAGTGAACTATTACACTCAGATTATTCAGTTTACAGAAAGATCTGAGCATTCCCAAAATGACAAGCATATGCATTTCCTCATGTCCTTGGACATCTATAGCCTCCATCTAGAATAGAAGGTCACATGTGACAGGACTAATCCTTCACTCTTTGTTTTGGTCATGATGACCCTTATTTTTAACCAAAGTTCACCCTCTAATTTCTCTCATGCTTAACTATTTGCTTTGCTCATTATTTCCTCTATACAGTTCATTTATTCATAGCCTATGACAATCAACCACCCCTGTCTTCTCCAGCATTCGGTACAAATACAGAGTACGCACTTAGATTCTTGAAACACTTTGTCTCGGCTACAGTACTGTGCATTTGGAGATTAATTTGGACTTCAAACAGTTTGGTTCATTTCTGACATCTTATTTAATAGGTTACAAACCAAACAATGCACATATTCACATCCTTTGAGAACAGTACATTTGGCACACAGTAAAATGCAAATAATGACATGACAGTGACTAATGGCAAAGAAATAATAAAAAAATGTCTTATGACATACTGTACATATGAAGCTGCATGATAACAAAAAAAGAAATACATACACATTTATGATACTTACAGTGACATAAAACACTTATATAACTTATATTAATATGCACTGTACCTCTGTATGTACAAATATGTATTCCTTTGTGAGACACAGATTCACGTTTAACCAAAGAGGTGCTTCCATCTTTTGCTTGAACATGTCAATGTGTTTCCTATGTAGAGTCATTTCAAAAACAATACAAAAGAGTTACTCATGAAGTCCAAAATAGCTTTGCAAATTTGGCATTAGGGCACAGGTGTCTGGCAGGTGTAGCTGTGAGAGTTTCCTGTTAGTGGACTCCATCCAAGCTAATAGATGCCAGCTCAGAAGGGCACAAATAAGGCCAGACATGCTTTGAGAAAAACGACCAAACAAATGAAAGGTAAATGATGCCAAAACTCAAAATGAAGCAACAGATCTGTAAAATGGACATGAAATGAGTGAAGGTCTCAAAGTCAACATGAGACGCTGTTCACAACCCACTTTCACTTTGGAGATCTGACATATAAGAAAAAATATAAAACGGAAAATAAATATTATGCAACATGAATTGATTGAATTGTGAAAAGTGAGTGTTCACAGCAAAATAAAGGTGTTTGGATGCAAAGGGTGACATCAGAAGAAATATAAAGTTGCTTCAAAGGCTTTTTTTTTATACAGATATATCTGGCAACAATTTCATGTTGACTTTTAAACCTGGTGTTGGCAAAATGTTGAATTTACTACAAATGCGTTCATTATTTCTTATGTTCATAATGTAATGACCTGATTGGATTTTCTTGATAAACGTCTTGCTTGCATCACAAGCTTTACAGATTACATATTAGAAGAAATACTATGGTATTTCAATTGTGCTATACAGTATATAGAATGGAAGATCATTTCTATGTATTTAACTTTTTTGCCACAGAAGCGTAATATTTTGTGTTTTGTCTAACTAGAGTATATGAAAAACAGAGGCTGTAGCAGCTGAAATAAAGGACCTGTGCTGGATATGGCATGACCTGACAACCAAACGATTACCAACCAAAACAGACAGTGGAAATCAGAGACATTGAAGGTGAGATGGAGAGAGGGAAAACATCGCTAAACACACACACACACACACACACACACATACACAGAGAGAGAATATTGCACATAACAGTTTCTCATAGTCTAATAATACACAAGAATATCATAGGCATAACCATGCAGTAGATGATTAGTCTATTTTCAAAGTTCACAGGCTAATGATGAGGGTAATCAGGACTTGTATGTACTGTAGACTGTAGAGAAGTGATTGGCTACTGTCCTGACCCGTTCATAATGATAGGTCTTGTTGTGCTGTATGTAATTTCCACATCCTAGCAACAAAACAATCCAGTAATATAATGAAAAAACCACACACACAACGAAACACTAAAGAGGGTACTTGTGTAACCTTACCCTCCAGCATATATGCACACACACACAACACTTGTTTTGGTGACTTGCGTATATGTCAACACTGCTGTTTCGAATGGAAACGGCGCGATGGTCTCATGAAAGTCCTTCCCAGTACCGTCCAATCACTGTCTCTGGCTATCAGACCATCATGTGATCAGATCCCAATGCTGAGTGCTTAAAACTCCCAGTTCACACGTTCATATGCATCACATCTGCAATACAATCACTTGTTCTTTACATTTGGTTTTTGCATTTCAAAACGGTACTAGTGCAAATGGGTTGACTCCAGATGTACCACTGATGCACTTCATGATAGGAGAAGAAATGAAACATGAAATGGCCTTCTAAAGAGCTCTATCCAGCTGCTTTACTGATGTCACATGATCTCCTTTAAGTGTTTTACATACATTAAATAAAGATGGTGCAAATCTGTGAGTATCTGTGCACGCATATGAAGCCCGTATTTATAATACATTATAAGGGTATTCTTATAATGCATTATGCATTCATTATAATGCCTTAAGAATACCCTTATAATGTATTATAAATACGGGCTTCATAGAAAGTGTTACCGTATGTTTTTATGGGGTTCAGCAGGAAAGATTATAATGCCTAACTTTCTATTTTTAAATTAAAGCATCAAATTCTTGGTAAATGATGGTCTACGATCAGCTCATGGGCGTTTACAGTGTTCACAGCGCAGGAGATGGAGGTTTTAGTATTAGGACAGGGTCTCTTCGCTGAAGTAAGAGAAGCCCTTGAACTCATCCTGGTTGATCTGCTTGATAATGGCGTCTTCCACCGGGGTGAGCACCGGCTCCTCGCGGGTGAAGTCCTGGTCAAAATTGTTGACGTCCCTTTTGGTTTTCTGTGGATGGAGAAGAGGAAAGTGTGCTAAATGAGCAATTTCAGAACAAGAAATCACAAAAACACATATACATCCAAACACGGTGCATTCCATAAACGCTCTGAATAACCTAAGAAATGCTTTTCCAGCAAATATTTTAGCAGTTTTTATGTGTGTCCCTTATTTCTGTCGACTGAACAAGCCATGCCAATCATTTGTGAATTAATCATACTTTTGAGTCGGTTCTTTCTTTTCAGTAAAACAGGCTTTCAAAAAACATCTGAAGCAGACTGTCAGTCAGTAAAATAGAGAGTATCAAGATTTTTAAGGAAACAGAGAACAAACAGCGCTGGATGAAGTGGATATTCACCTACTAACAATTGAAACAAAAGGCTTCTTTCTGAGAGATAAATGAGAAAATTCAGCTACTGCTGTGTCATGTGAATAAGTGGCCATTCACACAGAGAGTGTTTTGTGTCCGCCTATGCTGTTTTTTTTGTTTTTTTTCTATGCGAACATGCACTAGATGGATATCTTTAACCATTCCATTGCTATATAACATTTTTGTGTATTAAAACACGCATAAAGACCATTGCTCTCATTTATTGTTTGATCTGAAGAGTCTTAAGTCTTGTTGAAGTTTGTAATAGAATGCTAGACATACTCAGTAAAGTAAAAGTTCTTTCAGAGTTGAATTTTGAGCATTTATATATATATATAAAGACTTAAACTACTTCAGTCTGTGTGCATTGAATTTATTTAATACACGAGTTTCACAATTTGAGTTGAATTACTGAAATAAATGAACTTTTCCACGACATTCTAATTTATTGAGATGCACCTGTATATCTGTTTTATCTGCCTCATATTGGTGCATGTTTTAAACTCTCCCAACCTCTCACCCTCTAAGGGCTCTCATCAGCCTCGTGAGCAGGCGTGAGAATGGGGCGAACAGGCAGGCCACTTCTCACACTATCTGAGAGGCATTCCACACACACTTACAGCAGCCAGCATGCATCTCTGTATCAAAGTACAGCGTCTGATGTGTGCTGAGAGTCCAAGAGCATCTCAGATATCCCTCTGTTCACATTACCAAAAACAGAAGTGTGACACAAACACTTCTAAGAAACATGAGGGCTGAAGCACTGTAATGTTCTTGATAACTGCATTTGGAAAGACCAGTGTTTATGTCTGGTCTGAGACAGTCAATATACAGAGTTTAAACTGTGTTGTAACCAGACACAACATGATAAAGTGTCAAACGGTATGTCCTATTTCTTCAAAAAAAGAAAATCTGAATTTTATTAGTCTATAAGTGGAACATAAGATAGGAAACGACATTTTATTGGTTGTTTAGTTTGTATCTCTCTGGCATCTCACTCATTAGGTCCCGCCCACAGTGAAATCTTATTGGTCCAAAATCCTACTAGACATACAGTAACTGTTTATAGAGTTTATATAGTTTTTCCTATAGGGATTTTTTTTTTTGTTCAATTTGATCACATTTTTGTTCGAAGTTATAAACAATGAACCAAACCAACCAGGTGAATTACAACATTAAAAACCTTTGATTTGAAGCTAAACGTATTTAAAAATTGGACAAAAAGACAAAGGTACAAGACTGTGTACTTAACGGCTCTAATAAGGGAAAGTACTACAATCCCATGAACCATTGCAAATGAAATGAATTAAAGACTATGAAGAAATGCAAAAATGTATAGGTGTTATAAACAATATATTTTAAGTTTATTGCAAAATATGCATTTTATTCATTCACATTTTTTAGCAGTTTATAAACATAGGTAAACTCTACATCATTTGCCATGCTTAATGGGAGTGGGTGGGTGAATGCTAAAGCGTTCTTTTCCATAATTCTCTGATTGGTGGAGATTTCTCTCAAGAATCATGGGTAATGTAGTTTTTCACCAGGAATTTCACAGTTGAACATGGTTATTAAAAGAAATGTCTGTCTTCAAAGCTTTGTACACTATCATTCAAAACCAATTCCCCATGGAGAAAATGAATAGGATGTTTACTTTAAATGCTGTCTACACAGGCAGCGCACTAGGTTTTGTAACAGAGTGACTATCCACAGTATCCCACACATTATAATACTCACAATACGTGGTTTGAAAGGCGGCTTGATCTTCCTCTGTTCCAGAAGAACCCAATCAATCTCTTTGAAGAACGGATGCACTTTAATAGCTTCCTCTAGGCCTTGGGATACTACGCAACCCAACCGCTTACTGGGGCTCTTCGTCATGAACTAAACAATGGAGTGAAGAAAGAAGAAAAGATTAGAGAAGCATAATCCTGATGGCTTGTTAACCAGAGGATGTCTATATGCGTTATGTTGAGTTAAGATGGTTAGTGATGATGTATGCATGATATAAGATTGCATCCTGTGGAAGGATGACCTGAGATGACCACAGGTCATGTGACCACAGTGCCAGTGAGACAGATCGCAGTGTGACACGATGCTGTCCAAGACAAACAGCCTGCCTTTCCCACAAAGCTTTGCAAATGGGCAAAGGACAGCCAAAGTTAATCTTGGACATGTGAAGGAAAAAGGCGACCCACAAAAAACACTGTATACACACACACACACACACACACACACACACACACACATAAACTGACACTATGGCACACTGCAAGCCTTAGTGCTGCTCAATATCAGTATAGAGCTGTCATCATAATACTTACTGTATGATTGTGCAGCTATTGACCGAGTGATCAAAGAACCAAACTATCTTTATGTAAAATCTTTGGAGTGACTTCCATCAATGTTGAGATGAATGGCGATCAAAAGTGACGTAGAAGTCACATGAGTTCCAATATGACTGTTCAGACTAAGGTCGCATTGCACCTGTATCTGATTTAGGACCACATATGGAAGTCAGATTCCATGTGGTTTGTGCTGTTCACTCAGTTAATAAAACAAAACAAAAACATCTGAACAAAATGAGTCACATATGAACAAAAAAAATTGAATTTCTATGAGTGTAAAACCCTTAAACAAACATGAAAAATGCTAAAGAGCACAAGCAGTCATGCATACAAATACACACAGAGAAACTAGTCAAACAAGCCAGACAAATAAATATGAGCATTGACTGAGAAGATACTTCTCATTGGAATTGCTTTAATATCTCAATTGTTTCTCTTCGACAACAAGATGAAACGGAGAAGAAACTGAGACTTTTGGTAAGAGGAATCAGAAAGGTTTGGTTGAAAATGGACTTGAATAGGTTGAATTGTTCCGACTGATATGAACCAGTTACACTCTTAAAAATAAAGGTGCTTCATCTGGGGCTCTTCGTCATGAACTAAACAATGGAGTGAAGAAAGAAGAAAAGATTAGAGAAGCATAATCCTGATGGCTTGTTAACCAGAGGATGTCTATATGCGTTATGTTGAGTTAAGATGGTTAGTGATGATGTATGCATGATATAAGATTGCATCCTGTGGAAGGATGACCTGAGATGACCACAGGTCATGTGACCACAGTGCCAGTGAGACAGATCGCAGTGTGACACGATGCTGTCCAAGACAAACAGCCTGCCTTTCCCACAAAGCTTTGCAAATGGGCAAAGGACAGCCAAAGTTAATCTTGGACATGTGAAGGAAAAAGGCGACCCACAAAAAACACTGTATACACACACACACACACTCACAAATTGTTCCGACTGATATGAACCAGTTACACTCTTAAAAATAAAGGTGCTTCATCATGCCATAGAAGAACCTTTTTGTCTGAATGGTTCCATAAAGAACCTTTAACAGCTGAAGAACCTTTCTGTTTCACAAAAGGTTTTTTTGTGGTGAAAGACGATTCTTCAGATTATAAAAAGGTAAGAAAGAGATGGTTCTTTAAATAACTTTTGTTTGAATGGTTCTTTGTGGAACCAAACATGGTTTTTCTATGGCATTGCTGTGAATAACATTTTAAGCACCTTTATTTTTAAGAGTGTAATTGAGAAAAAAATAAAAATAAAAATAAATAAATGGTTAAAATGAACCAGAATATAGCACACAAGTTGTATGGTCTTATTTATTTATTTATTTTATTATTTAATTAAAAAATATTAGTAATTTATTTTTCATTTATTTATTTAAATTTTGTATGGAAAACAAAAGAGCTGCAAGAAAATATAAAATATCTCATTTTTTGTTCCACAGAAGAAATAAAAGCATATGGGTGAGTTCATTATGACATTTTAATGACATAATAATATATGCCTTCTGTAGAGTTTCAGAAAAGATCATCAAATATTTGAAAGACTGAATGATCCGAGCTGTACTATTCTCATTAATTTTATAGCTCTATACTTTTACTATCTGTCAACAGTTTGTGTCTACTTTTGATTTTTCACTGGAAGCACTGGAGACAAAGCAGATATATAAATGAAACATGACCTAAAAAAATCTGCTTCTGAGCAATAGAATGTTCCTCAGCACTTTGTCATATGCACTTAACCAGTTTGAACAGTTAAAAGAGGAGGAACCCATGCAATGGTGGGCTGTATATCCTGAAACGAGACCTCTGAGATTACACAACCCAAAACTCCAGCAGGGAACACAAACAATCTGTTCTTTTCCCACAAGGAGTGTCGTTTTTCTGAGCTTTCGCCTTCTTTTGCTCTTCTGTTACTTAACTATTCTTTCAAGAAGAGTGTGAGAGCACGCAGACAGTAGTAAGAGGAAAGGTTAAGAGGTGGTACCTATGTCTTTAGTAATAATCAGCAGGCAAACTGTATCTTTAGGGAATCCCCAGAGTGATCCATGAGTAAATCCGGACACGTACCGCTTTAAGAATGCTGACGGCCTCTTTGCTGAGCCACACGGGATATAGGACGTCATCATGGAGAATAGACTCAAAAAGGTCGTCCTCATTATCTGCTTCAAAAGGAGGCTGACCAGCCATCATCTCGTACATCAGCACACCTAGAGCCCACCAGTCCACTGACGGGCCGTACTCAAGCTCCTGCAGGATCTGCAAACCACAAATCTCCATAAATCTAAAGTTTGAAACAGAATAATTGAATATACATGATCATGTCCAGCTCAGACTCAGATGAAAGCACTTCTGGAATATCCTGTGCTGGTTTTGGGAGGAAATCCTTCAGATATGTGCAGAATTAATTAACACATGGTATAACGTGTTAAATGGAGATGATGGTATATTGGGAGTTGAAATTATGATCAAATCAGCTGTTATATTTGACTCTATAAAGCCTACTGTATCATATTTGATATGCAAAACTTCTAAGTCCTCTAAATTATTAACATGATCAAAACTGCTGAATCTTCTACATGTCTGATTGATACCTTATGCTTTTGGCAAGTAAAAGGCTTTTTAGTATAATTCTAAAAGTATAACCTTCAGGTTGTGGATCGTGTGTCTTTTTGCTGTGAAATCTTTACTGATTTCTATAAAGTAAATGTTGGAATAACTTTTATATTGTTAGTACTATTTCAAGATGAACAATTATTGAACACCTTTTTTTTATATAAAAAAATCATGTTAAAATGTAAGCATCAAATATGATACATCAGTCTTTTGAGGAACATTTATTTGCTCATCTCAATCAGCATGCCTCCGCAATAAAAACAATACAGAGTCATATAAAACTAAGCACTTAAATATCGTACTTAAACTTATTATTGCAAGATTAAATTAAATTCAAATTAATTTGTATAGCGCTTTTCACAATACAAATCGTTGCAAAGCAGCTTTACAAAAAATTTTAAGTTTCCACATTATATTTAGGAGTAGGTTATTAGTGGTGACTATGACAGAAATGTACAGTAAAAATCATGCAGTTAGTTACAAATTGCATGTAATCAAACAGACAGTGAACACTATTAACTGCAATGATTAAATGTTGTGATTAAACTTATAGCAAAATATTGTAGTTTTGTATGTTGTTCCAGGGTTTGCATCATCTGAGGTCTTCTATACTCTATATATAAGATATAGAGTGATGACATTAATTTTATGTAAGCAATCTGCTATACTCTAATAAAGATCTTATTGATTTACATTACAAGCTTTTCATCTTTTTTCATCTTAATGTTTGCTCAGTTTGGGCCTTTGAATAAAACTCAGGTGTCCATGATGTATGAGCTCCATATTCTCTTAAAGCATGTCTATATGAGCCATTAAAGCATGTTGTATCAAATATGACACACACACACACAAAAGGAGGAAACATAAGCAAACTTTTTTTTTTTCTGAAGGATCAATAAACTATGCCATTTTAAAGATTTTTCAGGCTATTATTTTATATGTCAGATTTTTCATAAGAAATGCAAGATATGCAGAGATGGGGGAAATGGTAAACTTTATGAATAATGGGCATTTCGTTGGAAACTAGCTGAATTTTCAGTGAAATTCTGCAGCCACATATGGTTATTACTTTAAACAAAAGATAGCTCTGAAGATAATGAAAAACTAAAATGGGAAAACACTGAAAAATGAAAACTATTTCATTGGGCCACATTCATGAAACAAACATCTCTATTTGTAACGACTGTCTGTAAAACCATTCTAAAGTAAATTGCAACATTAATTCAAATACATCAATTACGTAAGAATAAGTTTGCAAACAACTCCGAAATGTTGAGTGCTTGAATCAGGACCACGATATGAAAGCTAGTGATTGCTCAATAATGGAGTAAATATCTGACTTTTTCAAGAATAAATGAATCAGTAAATTAACAAAAATATAAAAATAAAAGGTTACACTGTAGGGACCAATTCTCACTATTAACTAGTTGTTTATTAGTACGCATATTATTATTATTATTATGGCTGTTATTAGTACTTATAAAGCACATATTAATGCCTTGTTCTGCATGACCATATTTTAGATCCCTTAATCCACCCCATACCTAAACCTAACAACTGCCCTACTAACTATTAATACGCAGTAATTAGGAATTTATTGAGGCAAAAGTCATAGTTAATAGTGAGATTTGGACTTTAAAATGAAGTGTGACCAAATAAAATAATGTTTCATAGCTTTAATGAGAACCAAACAGTAGAAAAGAGACTATGACTGTGCATTTGTGTGTGTGAGAGTGTGAAATACTGTACCTCCGGGGCAATGTAATCTGGTGTGCCACAGAATGTTGTGGTTGTGATGCCATCCAGGATTCCCTCCTTACACATGCCAAAGTCTGCCAGCTTACAGTGACCCTCTGCGTCCAGCAGAATGTTGTCTAGCTTTAAATCCCTGTAAAGAAAATTCAAGTAAATGTAAAAAACAGCAATATTAACCTACGTGTAGCATGCAGATAAACATCAAATTTTCATTTTTGGGTGAACTATCCCTTTAAGTAAAATATAAATTGCCCATAGTATTAATTACATACATATAGTAGTAATTAAGTAAAGCTGCAAGTTTTAGTAGTCATAATGAAAAAAAAAATCCAGTGTAAGTAGTGTATGTCAGGCTAGACTTGGTATCAGTGCAGCAGTATTTGAGCATCCGTACTAGGATACATAAGACATAAATTCACTGTACCCGCGCAGTGAATTTAACCAGCACAAGAAGAACGTATAGAGAGAGAGAGAGAGAGAGAGCGAAAGAATAAAGAAAAGGAGAGTGCGAGATGATAAAAGTGCCCCTGATGAAAGACAACAAGGAGTTGGATGAAACCAGTCGGATTGGGGTTTGATGGTTGATTGCAACAAGAATGTCAACATCACTTCACAGGATGTCATTCAGTCAAAGGTGTTTTCATAAAACCATCCTCATTGAAAAGGGAGGGGAGCGTCGGATCCCTTACGCAACTGTTCCTTTTGAGAAAGGCACCCTGGTGCTCGGCACATTCCCGTTGGTCTGAAAGTTGGCGTGAGGGGCTTCATTCCTCTCTGTCTTTCCCCACCGAGAGTCTTCAATCACTCTTTACATGCAGAAGTGTGGAAAAATGCTTGTAATGAATGCTGGAAAGATGAGAGGCCTGCTTCCCAAATTTATGATCCACTTCTTGATTGAGAAGCCAAAATGAAGCCTAAATAAATTAGTTTTAAAGATGAACTACATCATATTCATATTTCCACTTGAGTCATTAGTTATTATTAAAATGTGAAAAAGTCAAACATAGAAAGCGTAGGTGTGTTTGACCTTCAGTGTAGGTTCACAGAAAGAAAGAGGTGGAAAGTTCATGAGACGTGAACGGCTGATCTGTATTGTCCTCTATACCAACATGCGCTTCTACATCACAAGATGTTCCAGAATTGTCCATCTCTCCATCTGTCTCTTATTTCTGTCTCTCTTTTCCCCCTCTATCCATTCCTGTCTAAGTCCTACAGTAGTCTACACACCTTCCAACACAACCGTCACGTCGCCCCTTCCTCTCTTTCCCAAGAAAGAGAGCTTAATTCAGAGCTTCCTTTGTTGATTTAGATTCTGTGACTTTGCTACATTGGCCGCTCTTATCTGCCCTCTTTGAAGTGCTTAAATGGTAAATGCTGCTCTCCCTTTTGCTTTTATTTTCCAGGATGTTTAGTAACATACTCTTTGTTTTTTTCCAGAGTTACATTGTGACTTTCTGAGACTGTGAGGTGAAGCTTTAGTCTTCTGAGATTCAAGATAATATCCACATAATATCAGATTAGATGTGCTGTTGGTTCTGTGCAAATAAAACACTTCATTAGAGCCTCATTAAATACTCTTCGTTTAAAAGTAACATTCCTCAATTCGGATCCATACTTATTTTTAATAAACTAATTCATCAAAAATATATTTAAATTTATTTTTATTTATTTATCTACCAACTGCTACAGCAAACAAAAGCCAGGTATTTGAATATTGAGCAGCGAGCTCATTGGCTACCGATACAGGAGAGAACCAATCAGCTGCCATGTGACAATGATGCCACCAGGACAGATTGAGCTAGACCTATCGGACTGCGCCATCTAGAGTTTCATGCCAGAGCTCTGTATTTGTATAGGTGGAATGGAAACCTAAAAGCAACAATACATTTGAAAAGGTGCTTTTAGAAAAGTAAATTAATTAAGTAGAAAAACATGTTTTCGATGAAAGGCTGTTTAAATGAAGATAAAAGAAAAATGTATAAACAACATTAAAAGCTTTAGAGTTTAGCATGAGCTGTAAAATCACAAAAGGGCTATAAATGATGAGATTAACTATTGTATTATGTTTCACTAGAGCACCTTTCATTTGGAGGAAAGTACTGACATAGTAAGAACTCAACAACACAGAACAACAAGTCAGAGCCAGAGAAAGACACACAGAGAGGGGGAGATGGCAAAGACTCAATTTAGTGCATTTCCTGTGTTTTTAAGTGAATTTTGAGGAGTGATTTTCCATTACGTACACAGCAACCTCTATGCAAAATAAAAAAAATCTGCTAGAATATGCTTCTTTTTTTTTTCAAAGGACAAGAAGCTATTCCATTACAATACACCAAGGAAGGACATGACGTACACTCTTTATTATAATGTTAGAAATGTCAAAGTAACATGAATGATTTTTGCAAATAATAATTAATAAACATATTTAATATTAATATCTATTAAAAAGCATATATTTTATATTATCATTGTGTGCAAATATTTAGAATGTCAAATCACTGTTTATATACACTATATATATATATATATATATATATATATATACACACACACATCAAATATTTACACTACAGTTCAGTAAGATTTTTTAAAAAGAAATTAATAGTTTTAGTCAGTAAGGATGCGAAAATTATCAAAAGTGTTACAAGATATCTTTTTCAAAAAAAATTAAATTTTAATTTATTAAATAATTCATACAAATATATCATTGTTTCCACAAAAATATTAAGCAGCACAGCTGTTTTAACATTGATAATAATAATAGAAAATGTTTCTTGAGGACTAAAGAATGATTTCTGAAGGATCATGTGACACTGAAGACTGGAGTAATGATGCTGAAAATTCTGCTTTCACATCACAAGTTATTTTAAATTGTAATAACTTAATTATTTTAAATTAAAAAATCAAATTTAACAAATAAACAATCTAAAAAATAAAATGAATTAAAGCAATACAAAAACACTGTATACATATTTATTATACTTAGCCTATATTTTATACATTATCTAATGTAATAATATATATCACATTGGACTGCTCTATGCTAAAATATTCGTTTAGCACCACTCATACCCTTTAAACTTAAAATTTTATGGAGCACGGCAAAATATTTTTTATATAAGGACTTTAAAATTACAATTTACACAAATGCATGAACAAACATTTTACACAAGCAGGCACTGAGAAATTTCAACACATCCATTACTATGTCAATGCATTTTAACTAATGATCTATTAGGCGTTGTATAATTGATGGACTGTTTTCAGTATATCTTCTCAGATGTCTGTATACCGTAATTTACCTTCCCTACCAAGGTGAGCACTTTGCTCAAATGCCCATGAATACTAAGTTAGTCGGACACTCCTGGAAGGTTACCAAGCAACATCCACATGATCTAATTAATATTCATGCATAACAAAGAAGAAAAGAAAAGACTCTTTATAACTAAATTACGCAGCAACTAGTTTCCCAAGTTACCTGCAGAGCAGTGCCCCAGAAACAAGATTGCAGTTTCTCTGCTGATATAAGTGAATGGGGAAAAAAAAAAAAATCCAATCATCGTGTAAAACACAACTTGCCTACAATGTTACAATGATTAGTAATTATAGGGGCTGTAATTATCACACAGAGGACCTTGTTTACTAAAGTAAGAGCCTATTTTTTCTCTGAATGTACTCTAGGGTTAATACATATCAATTAACTCTTACAGAAAGAGGATCACAAGGATACTTATTGTATGAAAGTGAAAAGCACCTCAATGGTCTCATTTTGCTTTTTAGGTGAAATGTCACAAAGAGCACATCCATCTGACAAACAGATCTCGCAAGCACAAGGTGTGGAAAAACTACAATAACTACCAGCACACATTGTTCCTTCACAGGTCTCAGTGCTTTTGTGTCCCTAACACTCCCATACACCATAACAAAATCCCTCAAGAACCACAGGTCAACAAAAGATGGGCAATCAAGCAGAGGAGCCACATCTATGCCACCTGCTCTAACTATCTATTTTTAGAGCGCTGAATACGAACAAACAACCAAAGCAGCCAATTGCAGTCTACAGCAGGGAAGTCAAGCTCAAACAAGTCCTCTTTAACCAGATCAAACTTCTGCGGTTTCAGTCAAAACTGCCACCATGTCCTTCCCTGATAGGGAGAAGAAAGCTGCCCCTGCACATTTTGTTCTAGAATGTTCTGAATTCAGTTTTTTTTAGGTCCTGGTATGTGCGGCAGGTCACAGAGAGGTAAAATTGGTTCTCATGGGGGAGAAATGCTGTTCTGCCATGCGCTTGCATGCAAAAGTGTTAACACGCAGACTGCGTTTCGACATGCAGGTTTCCTGCAATGTAGGGCTTTCCCAAAACGCAAGGATGCCATTCGGATTGAGACCGATGGCCGAAGAGAGGATAATCTGGGATCTTTATTTGTAACCGGTGGAAATGATTTACGTAAATTTCACATGATGTCGTCGTAGAGCTCTGCTTAAACTTATTACTGGAGCAAGTTAAGTGACTCGCTCAAGGCTACGATGACGATGGCTCGTGGCTCGCTTTTTGCAGGGTGGTCAGATTTAGGGGTGACCTGGGTTAATGTCGCATGTTTTACCACAGTGTTTAGACCTTAAAAATGGTCAAATCTTTGAAAAAAATCCTAATCCTGGAAAAAAAAAAACAGTATCACAGTTCCCACAAAAATATCCCAAAAAAAAACAGTTTTCAACAATGATAAATAATAAGAAATGTTTTTTGAACAGCAAATCTTAGAATTAGAATGACTTCTGAAGAATCATGTGAGACTGAACACTGGAATAATGATGCTAAAAATTCAGGTTTGAATTACAGAAATAAATGACATTTTAAACTATATCAAATAGAATACAGTGATTTTAAATTTGAATAATATTTTAGAATATTACTGTTTTGCTGTATTTTAATCAAATAATGCAGCCTTGGTGAGCAGAAGAAACTTTTAAAACATTAAAGGTCACATATTGTACACCTTTCTGGAGTTTTCTTTTAGGTTTTGATGTCCTTAAGAATATATATTTGCGGTATAAGTACCAAAAACCATCTCAATATATTTTTACAGCTCCTCTCTCAGGAGCTCTGCTGAGAACAGGTCGATTTTGGCCTGT